CATCGCGCCACTCGGCCGGCCCTCCACTTGAATTCTTTTCACCTGAAATATCTGTATCCTGCGACCAGTGACGGGTAACAGTGGTCCCTTTAGGGCAAAGCGACTTGTATCTTTTGGTGCCTTTCCCAGATTCCTTTCCCTCCCTCTGATATGCCTGAGTATCTCTGCAAGAAAATCCAGCTGTGAGGCCTCAGCAGCTGACCTGGCTAAGGCACCAGGCCGTGGTTACACCCCCTCTGCCTCCTTAAGGGAGAGACAGCAGACAGAGGGGCAGGTGGGCAGGAAAGGGCATCTTCTCAGCCAGGGGCATTTTGAAACATGGACTTTTTTTTACATTGACTGATTTTTCTGATGACACATTGGAAACCGTAGAACACAAAGAAGGAAATAAATCACCTACAGAGTGCAGTGGTAACAGCAGAGAGGGGTTAGAATAAGCAGACTACCCACTTTCCTTTCTGAAAAACCGTGGGTGGCCCTGGTTTCTGCAGAGCACTCTCAGCTGCAGCCTGGCCTGGAGGCAGTGACAGCTGGGTGCTCTCGAGTCTGTCCCACCCCCTCCTGCCCGGTTCCCTCCTGAGTGGCAGTCGCCTTGCCCTACGCAGGTCCGAATGTCTTACATGGGTTTGAGTCCTGGTTGAGTCCGCTGCGGGCAGGCCCTTCACTCTGTGCTGCAGTTCAGCAAAAGGGAGTCATGACAGAGCCTCTTGTCTGGTGAGCCTTCTGTGAGCTGGAGCCTGGCACGGTGCAAGTGCCCAGGTTAAAAGAATCCATTTAAAATAGGTGGCCGTGCCACGTACTGCAGCAACCCGGATATGTGGCCTTCCAGCCTCTTAGGAGCACATACGTTCTCCGTAGGGTCTTGACAACACATGGCTCATTTTCCCAGCTGCCGACTATTCTGCTAAATGAACATGCCATCATTTATGTACAGAGCACCTGGACGTTTGGATGTTTTTACTTTTTCGCTATCATAGGTCATGCTGAGATAACCTCGTGTTTATCCTGTGCGCTCTGGGCATGCAGGGCCTCTGGGTGGAAGTGACCGCGTGTCCTGAGTGCGTTTCAGGGGGTGTAGGGATGAAGTGCTGCCCTGTGGGTGTGCGTGAGCCATTGGCCAGGCTGTGCAGAGACCCACTTGAATCAATTCCAGTGATAGGCTGTGCAAAGTGGGACTGGGGGTTGCTGGGAACCAAGACTGCCCTGGAACACAGGGAGAGCGGGGACAGGCCGCCGGGCCAGCTCCTTTCTGCTACCAGGTCACGGGAGGGGAGGCTTGGCTTCTCCTGGGTGGGGGCCGGCAGGGAAGACGTGCAGGTGCCGTCCTTTCATTGGGTCCCTCTTTCAGATACTTTGGGGGAAGAAGCCATCGGAAAAGATTTCAGCCTTTAAAATACCTCGCCTGCATTGTCATCTTTTTTTTTTTTTATCATTCCATTTTAAAGGAGTCTTATTTTTTTTATTTCTTTCTCTAGTAGCAAAATAGCGAGCAGAGTATGGAGGTAGCAAGTTTTTTTTAGGAGATTACACAGATGTCACACCCCACCTCCACGTTCGGCCTGGAGGCGGGAGCCTCTTGTCTGTTCCTCCCCCTGGATCTCGTGCTGCCCTGTGAAGTGCTCGCCTTCTGAGGCACACAGCCACTGCTGGAGGAGTGTGGTCAGACCCGTGTTAACAGACTGGAGGGATAGCAGGCACAGGGCTTGTCACCAGATGACGCATGTGGAGACTGCAGAAATTTAACCGCCGGTGACCGTGGAGCAGGCCACGATACCCTGTCCTGTCTGTGTGGCTGTATGTTAGATCAGTGAGAGGAGCAAGGTGAGTCTCTGGTTTGCCACTCCCAGGAGACCCTGGTCTTTGCTGAGCCAGACAACGTGCTCAGAGAATAGGAAAGTAATTCTGTTCAATGTGGAGCTGTTGGGGACCCCATGTCGCCATCCCTCTGTTCCCCGATTGCCACCCGCTGCCTTTTTTCTCTCCGCGCCTCCAAATTCCATAAACATCTTCTGTGTTTCCTTTTCCTCCATTTTCAAAGTGCCGCTCGGAAAGGGTTGGTAGGAGGCTCTCTGGATAAATGCTGCTGCAGGAAAGCCTGTCTTAACTAGAACGTGCCTCTCTATCAACAGAAAACTTGGAATATAACGTGGAGCCTCAGGAGATCTCGCACCCCGATGTGGGACGCTATTTCTCAGAGTTTACGGGCACTCACTACATCCCCAACGCGGAGCTGGAGCTGCGGTACCCCGAGGACCTGGGGTCTGTGTATGAGGCCGTGCAGAATATTTACAGCGCAGAGAAAGAGCATGTGCAGTAAGTCCGGAGAGGACAGTCCCCGCCGCTGCCATCTTCCAAGAGAGCAGGATTCCGGGAGCAGCCTCCACGGACCCCCCTGGAGCCCCCCCCGCCAGGAAGGCCACTTAACCAGGAGTGCCGCCTGCCTCCTACCGAGTTAGACAACATATGCTGCCCTCCAGCTGCAAAGACAACGCCACTCTCCGCCTACACTAGTGAATTCATTTGAAAGGCACTGTGTTCAGTGGCATGGCTTGTATGCTCGTCCTGTGGTGACCGTTCGTGACATTCTGTCTTCATGAGGTCTCACCGTCGACACTCTTATAACCGTTCTTTTTCCTCACTTTCCATTTGTCTCTTAACATTTGTCTCGGAACACTTTATTTGCTGGACAGATGGGGTTATACGTTTGCAATAATTTCTTTTCTGATTTCTCTGTGAAACACGTGCTAAGTCAGGACTGTTTGTCGTTTACCCTGAATTTAGTTGCTTATTCAGAGGTGAAGCTGTAAGTGATCTTAGCAGCATCTTGGAGATTGAGACGTTAACAGACTAATCATTGACATTTATTTTTTTCTAATATTTGAAACAGATTTTTCAGGCATTTATCGTTTTCTTTATTTGAGTTAGGAGGATAACACAGCTTTCCTTTCCATGGTCCCCTCTTCGAGCTACACTCCTATCTCTATGAATCATTAGTTTTCTAGTTTATTGCATAAAATTCTTTGAGAAAATGCATAGTAATGGCCTTGGTGATGGATTTTAACATGTTCATCTACTATTCCTTCCTTTAAAATAACTTTTTTTTTTCTAGTTTAAAAAATCTACTCCAGTATCATGAGTGGATCATTAATCAGTGATGGGTTCTCTTTATAGTAGGAAGTACAATCTAATGATAAACTGTTTGCTTTTAGAAATGATTCTCTGAGGTCTCCAAAGACAAAATGAGATTTCACTTTTGTAACCAGAAAAAAGAAATAGTGAACCTTAAAAATGAAAAAAAGGAAAAGAGGTTTTGTGCCCCCCTGTCATTCACTTCAAGACCATTTTGAATGTGGCAGGGTAGAAAGAAATAAAATCGCTTTCATTTTAAGAGAGTTTGACCCGTGGGAAAGGAAACTTGAGTGTCATCTGCTTTCTCGAGCCACCCTTGCCATGAGAGCATCAGGATGCAGCCTGTCCTCACGTCCCACGTCTTACTCAGAGCCCACCACTGGCTTCTTTCCCGTGTTAGTAACTGGCGCCAAGGTACCAAGTCCGCATGCCGCTCTGGGACTGCCACCATTTTCCACCTGCCATGCCTCCAGTGAGCTAGTCTTGTAGTTCACCAGCAGAAGCTAACTTCTGGAGTTCGGACCTAGTTACTTTACTTGCTTTTAAGTTTAAAAGAATCCAGTTTCTGTAGTGAACGAGGCTGTAGGGGGGCGGGGATGCAGCCACGCCTTGCTGCTTGTCCCTCCATTTGCATGCAGTATTTTCACACCATATTTGATGACTGCCTCTTGTTTATCCTTTGGAAACCCTGGGGTGACCGAGGTTTGGGGAAGCCGCCTGAGACACTTAATAGCAAGTGACAGCTGTTTAGCAGTTATTAGCAAAAGACGGGGATTTGGGCACCCAACTCCTTCCAAGCCTGAATTCGCTGTCGTCCAGTGTCCATGTTTCTCGTCCGTCCAGTCCAAAGGCAGACGATTTGGACTTGCATTTGAAATTGTGACCACTCACAGCGCCCGGCCTACCCAAGGCTGGGGGTTTTTACACTACTCTCCTCTAAAGGTGAAACTTAGAAAACGTGGAGTAACTATTAACGAGATGCATTACTAAGAAACTGTGGAGCATGCTGCGCGTTACAATTGTTGGTTTTCTGGTTTGATTCCTTTTTTCTTAAGAGTAACATCCAAGCCACGAAAGATGGTTTTACCTTTACTGACCCAATGTAAATATGTATCTAGACAGTTTTTAAATGTGTTTCCCCGTGAATGCTTCATTTGGCTCCCGGAGGCCTGTCTCACCTGTGTAAGTTGGTATTTGGGCACTTTATATTTTTCTAAAAACGTGTTTTGGATCCTGTACTCTAATAAATCATAAGTTTCTTTTAAAAATTTTTCCAAAAGTTTTCAGACCTGTTATAAAAGTAGAACTTTCACAATGTTAAAATATTAAATATTTGGGTATAGTAACTTCTCTTCAAATGAATGCCGAGATTTTTTTTTTTTTTGTACAATGATTAATAAATGGAACTTATCCAGAGAAACCGCACAAATGGCATGCCCGATTTCATTCCAGAACAGAAAGCCCCGCCACGACAACTGGCAAGCGTCTCACTTCTTTTTTGGTCAAAACAGGCAAACGTGCTCTGCTGTATTTTTCTTATTGTTGGTAAATGAACAGGGTACCGTTAGACTATGATTTGCCTGCCACACGTGAATTTTGTAAGCTCGGTAGTCATCCTAAGAGTATCTGGTTCTAATGCAAAGACTGCAGCTTTTCAATCATGTGAAAGCATGTGTTTGTAAAATGAGCATTGCAAACGTTTTGGGGGGGGAACCCCGGTTCGTGATGTGTTGTGGACCTGAGAGCTGGGTGACCCACCGCATTCCAGAATGCCCTGCGGAGGCCCGCTGCGTGGCGATGTCACTCATACTGTGGAAGGCAAAGACAGTGGGCCAAACGGTCACCAGTTTCCTCCCCTGCAGTGCTTCTCAGAGCCCGTAATGTGCTGCTGTGCACTGCGACTTCCCAAGAGGACAGCGTGGTGTGCCGGCCGTGTCTGCCTGACTTCTCAGACCCTGGAATACACCGCCCCTAACACGCACACGCACACCCCGCATCCCTGTGGTCCAGCGTTTGCAGACCCGCTTTGGGAAATGCTGTCTCCGTGCGGCAGCAGTTATGTCCAAAACCCGTCTGCCTTATCGTCAGCCCAGGCTTGCCAGGCATCTCGTTGGAAAACATGATCCATCTAATTGGATTTCAGAAGGCCGGCTTTATGTTGTCTCTGCCCGAACCCCATCGTAGATCTCCGTTCTAAGTGTATTAACAGCCAAAATGTTTTCTTGGGAAAACCAGCATTAAATAGTGTTGCTAAATCAGTTTAACATTTTGCAATGCCTACTGAACCTCTTGTTCTAATTTTCAAATGTCTCCGTCTTCATGTAGTAAATGGAGCCGTGCTCTCAGGTTCTAGACTTTTTTTCTCCTGCTACCATCGGAGTCCCTTTGCTGTAAAGGGGAAATATTTCTTTCTCTCAGTCCATATTCCGGGTATGGGAAATTGGAGTACCAGCAGCTTTTGAATTTGAGAGGTTCTTGTGGCCCTAATAACCCAGATGTGGCGCTCACGTTTGTCTGTTGTTTCTCGGAGGGAAGGGGAGAATGTTCACCTATATGAAATGCGGAACTTGGCTGTGTGGCGGTTTATTTTTGGAGACATTAATAGCTGTGTTGCATGTTCTTACTTTGTATTGCGTGCTTATGTTGAGCCCGGCACTGCTGATAGTCCTCATGGCAACCCTACAAGGCAGAGCCAGGTAGTGGATATTTTTTGCGAGCTGCATACGGTCTCTGTTACATATTCTTCTTTGTCTTTAAAAATGTAAAAAAAAGACAAAAAAAACAAAAGCATTCTTAGCTCGAGGGCTGTCCAGAAACAGGCCACAGGCTGGATGTGGCCCGAGGGCCGTGGTTTGCTGACCCCGGCTGACATTCAGGCCTGCCCGGCATCCTGCTGCATAGACGGGGCACCGAGACCACCTCCCTGCTTGTAGGTGGGAAACCTGCAGTTTGACAACCACACTACCGATGATTCTAGCAACTACCTCGCTATGTTTTTATCCTTTGCCTTGCAGCAACTTTGACTTGTAATGTTTCAGTTCTGAAAATTTAGAATCTTGGGCGAAAAAGGACATTCCTTTGGTGATTAAAATGATGTGCAATTATAGCGTAAATGTACTATGGCCATTTAGCAATGACTGTATTAGGGTAATGCTAGTTCTGTAATAAATAGACCCAAAAATATACAATGGCTCGAACACAAAAGACCTTTCTTGCTCAGGGAACTGGGCAGGGGAATGGGTGGGCAGGGTGGCCCTTGGGCCCCAGACTCAAGGAGCTTCTACTGTCTGCAGTGTGTGGTTTCCACGAGCACCCTGGGGCCGTTTTCCACCCAACCTGAAGTGGGGACTGAGCCTGGAGGGACACGTCTGGGCCAGCTGCCCAGGCCGGGAGTGGCACTTACCACTTCCACTCACATTCCTGGGAATGAACAGGAAATTGGGTAGCAACCATGGACCACTGTCTCAGTCCACTCCGGGTATTTCTCCCATGGTGGGACACCCCACTTCCCAGGGAGGCAACTGTGTGAAGTCAGGCTGGCTGTGGTGACCAGCATTGCCCTTGTCATTGGTTCAGTCCAGAAATGTATCGCTGACTTCTGCCACAGCATGACCACCAGGCAGTGGGGGTCATTCCTTACAGGTCGCGCTGCTACCTTAAATCCAGTCTCTGTGACAGATGGCGTGGGAGGGAAGGAGACCTGACTGGGCAGGCTGCATCTGTCACTTCTGCCCCAGCGGCCAGAGCTCAAGGCACAGACCCACAGCCTAAGGCCAGAGGGGGCTGGGAAGTGGCCTCCTGTGTGCCCATGGGGGAAACAAAAGGTTTGGGGCGCCGCTTTGTCTGTGCCTCTCACCTGGAGCCCACTTCCTGCCTCCTGCCCAGAACTCAGTTCTCAGGCTACACGGTCCTGTCCACCGTGGCTTCTTGGGGACCAGCCCTCTTCCAATTCCCATTTGCTGGTGAAGCAGGGACAGCACAAGTACAATGAAAACTCCCATTTGGGAAAAGTAAGACACAAGCCACTGGGTTCTTGTGACAAAATACTGCTGGGTGGGCGTGGTGAAGACCCGTGTGGTGGGAATGGGGGGGTGCATTCTTCTAGAGGCACCCCCTCAGTTCCCCATGCCTGAGCCTGCCCTTTGGGACGAATCCTCCCTGGTGACATCACACGTGGGTTTGGGGAACCCCCTCCCTGGTAGCTGTGCAACCTTCACGGCCCACTCCCTGCCTGGTGCAAGGTTGGGGGCCAGTCCTAGACTACAACGAGCTTGAGATCCCTCTGGCAACGATTCCCTCAGAGATTTAGCAGGATACTAACTTATCTGTGCCAGGAATCGTTCCCGCCCAAAGTTCTTTTCCAGAACTTTCCAGTCCGCTGTATTTCCTTCCTTCTCTGTCCCGTGCCCCTCTGTTCCCCCTGACTTAATGGTGGCCTTACCTTAACCTGGTTTTAGCCAAAGCTGAGACTCACTGTTTAGCAGCCTCTGTCACTCAAAGTGACTTTCACCCTCATCCCACGTGTTGCCTTTTTCAACATCAGAAGCTGGGGTTTCTGACTCTTCATTTTAGTTCATTTTTGCCTGAGCTCCTGTCATCATTCCTTGCTATCTGCCCGCAAAGAGTGACCAACACCCCATTTTCTGACTCTCCCAACTAATTTCCCTAGATGAGCAATAGCACCAGAGACGCCACCATGCAAGTTGTAAGTGACGATTTTACCAAGGACTACCCCCAAACACAGCTCTCCAATCTCCCAGCCTGCCTCTCCCAGCCTGCCGTGGGTGTCTCCCTGCCCCTGACTGCTAAGCTGACACCATAGAGTTGAGGTTTTTGTCACAGTGGTTCTCCCTACAAGGGTTTTTTGGTTGTTTGAAAGGGGACAGATGTTTCCATAGGAAGTTCCACTTCCTGTTTGGCTGTGCAGACCATCTGAGGAGGAGGATGTCAGCATTTCTGGGGGAGTGGAAAGAGCTAAAGCAAGTTGTTTGGTGAACTTAGGAAAAGAAATTGTACAGAATAAAGGGAAGACATTTGGAGGCGAACCAGTGGGACAATCTGCATTACCGAATCCTTGCATGGTTAGAAGTTCTGTCTGCTCGTAAAATGACAGAATTCTTAATGGACATTCAAGGCATTGCATTTGGGAGAAATGACAGAGCATTTTGAATGAGTTCATTGTTTTTCTCCAAAGGACTCTTCATCTCAAGGTTCTGGAATTCTTTAATAATCGACCCCTTATTATATGGTGATGTTCACAGTATCTCTTTACCATCCTCCACCCCGGCCTTTCTCAACCTCTTTTCACTGCTCCCCCCCGCCCGCCCCCAGGAGCCTTGTTTGAGACCTTTTTTTTTTCTAAACTGCCTTGCCCCGTGAAATTGTTTCGACTTCTTTTTAAATTGGGGTGAAATCCATATAAAATGAACCATTTTAAAGTGTACAACTCAGCGGCACGTAGTACGTTCACAGTGTGTGCAGCCATCACTCCTTTCTCGCCCCAGGACCTTTTCTTCGCCCCAAAGTAAAATCGCTGTGCCCGTTAAGCAGCCACTTCTCAATTCCCCTTCCCTCAGCGCCAGTCTCCTTTCTGTCTCTGTGGATTTGCCACTCATCTGGACATTTCGTCTAAGTGGAATCAGACAATATGTGGCCTTTGGCGTCTGGCTTCTATCACTTACCACCATGCTTTCGAGGTTCATCCATGTTGTAGCGTGAGTCAGTGCGTCATTCCTTTTTACGGCTGAATGATACTCCATTGTCTGAATGGACCACAATTTGTTCATCCGTTCAGCTGTTGATGAACACTTGGGTTATTTCTATACCGTTTAGCTCTTGTCAGTAGAGCTGCTGTGAACCCCATGAAATGTTAATACCCCAGATAACTATGTATATCTGTTTGGCATTGTATGTATATCTGTGCATTAGACATTAAAAGAGTAATCTTTTATTCAGGGGAGTTTTTCCACTCCCCCCAAGAACCAGTTTTGCCCTGTGGGGGCAATATTACCCCATTGAGAATTCAAGTCCCACCTGGGAGGTGGCATTGGGTAGAGCCGCTGTCTGTTCCATCTCACTGGCTGACCATGGCTATCTTGTCCTTGAGTGTCTTTTAATGTGGCCATCTTTGTACCAGGAGCTGTCGTGAATATAGGAGAAGTACATTTCTGTCACCTAGCAATGTTAAATGTATATTCTAAAGACCTTTTTGTACAGGTACAGTAATACCTTGGTTTGCAAGCATAATTCGTTCTGGAAACAAACTACTCGTATTGCAAGACATCGTTCATTGACCATGTTAAAATCTATTAGAAATTGTTGCTCGTCTTGTGGAACACTCGCAAACCACATTACTCACAATCCAAGGTTCTGTATATGCATTGTGTAATCTTTGCTTGACTTGACTCCAGAATCTCCTAGAGTCTGTCCAAGGAAGAAAGGAAGGGAGGGAGGGAGAGAGGGAGGAAGGAAGGAAGGAACCCAACCCTGATTAGTTTGAGTTATTGCCTCTTATAAAGTGGGATAAAAGAACGTGCAGTTATAAGCCTTTCTGGGTCGTGGCTACCTTTGTACAAAACTGTCCTAAATTGCCTTCACAAGATGAGAGAAGATGAAAGCTAGAGGCCCCCTTAACATCAGCTGCCAGACCGTTCCTTCCCGGTGTCTTACAAATAGAAATACTGAAGCCCGTGGCGGTTGTGACTTGTCTGGCTCTTGCCACTTAGCTTAGAACTTAACTGAAGTGAGGTCTCTACTGCCCCCCAGTTGCTCCCTCTGTAGGGTTTTCTTGCCCTACAGGAAATGTGTTGCTAACAGTATCATCCCTTATTATTGAGGATTCAGAACCTTGTTATTTCTTCATCGCCAGCTGTGCTGAGGCCACTTTGAACCACTCTCAGTCCCCTCATGTTTGCTTTGTTGAAGGAAGAGGAAGAAGTCCTTCCCTCATCATCTCAGCAGCCTGTGCTCTTGACATTTGGGGAAACCCAATTCAAAACCTACAAAGACTTTTTCAAGGAAGTTGCTTTTTTTTCTAGTTTTACTGAGGTATAATTGGTATACAAAAAACTGGATGTATTTAATGTATACAGTTTGGCGAGTTAGGGCATATGCATACACTGGTGTCACCATCACCTCGATCCAGGTGATAAACATATCCATCACCTCCCAAAGTTTCCTTGTGTCCCTTTGGGGTTTCTTGTTTTTGTTTGTTTTGTTTTTTTGTTTGGTTTGGGGGGGGCGTGTTTTTGTTTTTCGTTTTGTTTTGTTTTTGTGGTAAGAACATTCAAGATGCGTCCTACCCTCATAACACAATTTTAAGTGCCATAATTCAGTCGACTGCATTGGCCAAGAACATTGATTGGAACTGAGGAGTAAGACCCCATCTAAGGTTGGTCTGGGCTGCGTGTTATTTCTGGGTGGGACAGCATGGGCCTCAGCAATTCAATTTGCATGTGCGCAGGACGTAAGGTCTCTCTTCTGAGCCTGCCTCATGCATGAATGAGCCAGTGCCATCCTGACTCACTGAGAACTGTCGTGCTCTCGCCTCTACCCCTCTGCTTTAAACGTCTGCCCTTCTGGCCCACTCAGGGTGCATAGCCAGTGACGTGGCTGTGCCAACAGCTGCTTCTTGGAAGCAAGCCAGCCAGTTACGTCTTCCGTCTTTAATGCTGTTTAATACAACTCTCCGCTTCCAGACTGTGGCATGGGCTTTTGTTTTTCTGAGCACCATGTAAAAGAAATGTGCTTCTATGCATGTCACTCTCTTCAAAGAGCTTTCAGTTTTTAGAGACTTCAAAGCATTCATCTTGAGAGACCCAGCCGGAAGTCTTGTAAAGGACTGGAGATATTGCGTGCTGGGGCTCAGCCAAGTCTGTTGTTCTCAGCTGATACCGTCCCCCAAACCTTTAGCTCTGCGCATGCGCGTTTGAATCCGGTTGGGCCCGTTGTCTGTGAGCACTTGGTGTGGGTGGCTGGGTCCGAGGACACGGCTCTTCTCTGTTGCGACGGAGTCTGTTCATCTGCTGTCGGGACCTGGACCTCCTAATGTGGAAACCATGGTCAGCAGAGGTTTATAACCGAAGGGAAGTCTCCTCTGGGCTCAGCCGGTTCCATGCGTGGGGGGATTTACACTTGAGGTGGCCATCAGTGTGGTGTCCTGGCTGTTGAGACCCAGCCTGGCTCT